TATTTCTGGCAGTCCATAACATAATAAAACCTTCTGCACATGACAGCTTTATTTCTCAGATACTCAAATGATTTAAGAAAGCCGCTTCTCAAATAAAAAGCCTCTTTTTAGTGGACATATTTATGTCAAAGCTATGAAAATTTTACTGTACAACTGTTAGACTGCCAGAACCAAACATACCTTCAGACATAATGTGGAAAATTGATTCTGTCAAACAATTGTTCCTTCTGCTACTGAACAATGTGAGTCACTCTGGTTTCACCATTTCATAGGGATTATATTACATAGGCTTGCTGCATCTCACATCTGAAACTGGGGTTAAAAATATTTTTTTTCAAAAATATGCTTCTTGCTGGAGTCCATTTGCAAAGCTTAAGCAAAAAATGTTTTTAAAAAATACAGTATTTGATTCATATAAACAACACTTTCAAGAAAAGCTTAAGTAATATTTTCTGTGGAGTACCTCACTAACCAGATTCCTGATTAGATATTATTTTGGATATCCAAAGCTAGTTCAAGATTTCCTAGCTGCAGAGACAGAACAGAATTTTGTTTCCAAAGCGTGGCTGTGAGATGAACTCACTTGGGAAGGCCACGCTGAGGGTAGTACCAGTAGCAAGCTCAGATTTTCAAAATTCTGCAAAAAAACAGGCATCTGTGCTGTGTCTAGCACTCCCTGGTGATTTTGCTTTTTTTGCCAGTTGCTTTCTCTAGCCTTTAGCTGTAGCTGTCCCAAGAGCATCAAGTTATTTCAGAGAGGAAAGAGAGGGAATAGACAAAAGTAATGGGGGAAAAATGAAGATAACATATATTCTTATTCTTGGTTTAGATTTCCTTTATGGATAAAATGTTGGGGAAAACATTAAGGAGTGACCTTTTTTTATTCTTCTTCTAAACTCTATAGTATTACTTCATTACTTTTAGGTGCTTTTCTAGTTAGTGGTTATGTTTGTGGACCTAGGACTTTCTGCATCTTAGGGGAAGGTAAAGTTTTCATCATTATTCCTTTAAAACCAGTGTGGTGCAGTGATTTCCTATTTTAAAAGTAGCTTCTTTGATAGTGTCAGGAGTGAAGGATTTTAGAGGAGATAAGATGAGAATTGCTGCAGAGCATCTGCAGTTCACAGTAGTTCTCGGGCCAATTAGTTGGGCTAAGCATGTTATAAAGCAACAGTTTATTAGCCAGACTGTAGCTTTCTTGTCTAGGCAATAGCATCTAGAGAGATGTGCAATGTCTTTAGTACCAACAGTACCACTGCACTTTGTCATGTATGTCCTTAGATCCAGCTTCCTGTTTATCTTCTTACACGCAACTGCACATTGTGTTAGTGTTCAGAAGTTCATATTAAAAAAGGAACAATAACTGCTTCTTTCCTGATTAGTGTGTGGCAGCACTTTTTCACTTAGCAGCAATTTCCTGGTATTACTTTGGGGTTTTACATAAGCTAAGCACTACCTAATTATCTGCATTTGCTATCTCCGTCTGGCTGCTCAATATTAGCGTTTTTTATGTCTGATACATGCATCCGTACTTTCCGCATTTTGTACTCTTACTGCCTGTTTGTCACTTGTATCTATTCACATGCATTTTCAGTCATTTACTAGAAGCTCTTAGTACTTCATAAAATAAAGACCTTCATCTTTAAACTGATGTATAGAACAGTATGGTCCAGTAACGAGATGTAGGTAGTAAAGATAGGCTTACAGAGTAATGCTGTCTCCAACTCAGCATACAAGAGAAGTATGCATTGACACAAAATAACTAGAACACTCAGGTTGTTTTTTTTTTTAAAACATGAGAAAGCTTCAAGTTTAGCGGAAGAGAATCATATCTGGGCTAGGATGTGAGATGTGGATGAGTACATTCACAAATGTCATAATTTCCTGGTCTACTTCAGTCATATTCCACTTTGTCTACAATCTTAGTGGCATCTTTGTGAACCTACAGCAACAACTAGCTTAGCTTTGTGTGGTACCTATCTGTAAGCACAGGTAGCAGTTGACACCAAGTTGAAAGCTAACCACTCCCCTTTTGCTCGTAAGTGTTGTTAATGCAATGCCTAGCATTCTTGAATGGTAGGTTGCCAAGTTTGCCTTTACTTGGAGTCAGTGCTTTCCAAAAGAATCTACTAATTTCGATGCTTGCAGATAGGTTTATTCTTGGTGGACCTCCCAGTGCAGAGTGGTATCGTTCTAAAGTAGAGGAGACTACTTGAAATACAAAGCATTTTAACTGATGTTGTGGTTTTGGCTTTAATTTTTGGTTACACAAGTAGTATTTCCAGATGCCAGTGTTAGGTTTTCCCCTTTGAGTCAAATGTGTTTGTCTGGAAAATCTATTGTGAGGAAAAGGTTAAGAGCCTGAGATTCTCCAGGTTGTTCTGCTCATTTGTAATCATGATGTAAATGTCTGCTTTTTCTCATTATGTACCAAATCTAGTACGTCAGCCTATGAGTCCTGCCAATTAGATAATTGGCATTCTCTGAGTGTAAGTACTTACAGTATGCAATTATAAATTATCATTAGGTTATTACGTAAGTTTTCCCTCTGACATTTGTTAAAGTTAGTTTGTTAGAAATTTAATTTTCCTCTCAAGAAGCTGTCTATATGTAATATTAGGAAATGGCAGGAAAGTACCTAATAAAATACCAGGCTGTCCTTCAGGGTAGTTACGTTCTCATTTATAAAGTTAGAATTTGTTATGTAGCCAACTTTTACATTGTCCTTTCTTTATAGAGATGATACTCTAAAGCCCCTTACTTTTTTATTTTTTATTTTTTGTTCCTCTAGTCAAGGGTGTGCTCACCAACATGTCTAATAGACTACTAGTACTAAAAATTGCTCTTTAAGTTAGGATTTTGCAGTTGTCATCTATGTTTGGCCTTGTATTTGTTTAGTTTTCCTGCCAGATAACAGTGCAATTTTAATGACTAGAGTGAAAAATGTAGCTTTGGTCTCTATTTGGGTATCAGAGTGTGCATCATTCAGAGTATTACATATAGTACCGCAGCTTCCTTATTGTATGTCACATCATAGCAGTGACTAGAGGATGCACTCTTTAAGCTTTCCTTGTCCACAATCTCCATTAATTTTTCTTCTGCACTTGATTATTAGGAACAAATTATCAGGACTGGTCAGGAACAAATTATCGTTCCCCCTAATACCCATAAGGCTTGTTTACAAGGGAAAATGTACTAAGTGATGGCAAAGGATTATGTCACTAAATACAGGTGAACTGCTGAAGAAAAGAGACTGCAGTCGTAACGAATTAATTGCTGCTGATACCTTGCTTTTTCTGTGGGCTGTGTAAAGAATTTCGGAAGTCTTTCCTAAAACTCTTCTAAATACAGTCTACCCTCAAATTGAACATTTTAAATATATAAAAAACCAGAAAAAGGTGATAATGGGCTAAATAGCTTTCTTTAAACCTTTTTATCTTTGTCCTTAATAATGTGCAGTTTACAGGTTTGCACATTGTTTATTGAATAAGCAGTGACTAGAGTGTAACGTATTAAAAATGTATAAAAATAACAAGATTGTAACAAATTTAAAAAAAAAACAAAAAACAAAAAACAAAAACCAAATCAAAACAAAAATCCCAAACAAACAAAAAAACCCAAACCAAAACAGAAACCAAAACTAATACAGATTTGTAGTTGGTTTTCCACCTGAGTTTATTCTGAGGTGTTTTGGTACACCTTCTTATCTCTCTGCCCTATACCCTGTCAAATTTAAGGCTGCCTGAAAGT